CTAAACACATGAACTTTGCCAGCTTATCAGTTAGTGAACAGCAGCATGTTGTGGATGCATTGGCAGTAGCGAGTCTCGGTACTTGCTCTGCCGCAGCAGCAGCATAGAAGATCATTTCCATCAAGACTAAACACATGAACTTTGCCAGCTTATCAGTTAGTGAACATGTTTTCAACAACATGCTTTCAACAACATGTAATCTTCAACAAGTTTTCCATTAAACATTCCTTGTGGATTGATCTATTTTTAGAGTTTACACAGAAAAAAATGCTGTTTTATGAAAGAAGTCTTGGACAATTTTGCGACAGGTAGGGTTCAGTTTACGGCACTTCTCCTTCATTTCTATGGTATCCGACAACAGTGATTGACTGTTGCACAACTGAAATTCAGCGATGTTAAAGCTAATTGGTTATCAAGGCAAATGTGATCTAAGTTGGCCGTTTCTCTGCAGACCTTGGTATTGTTGCCCAATAAAAAGATCATCTCTGGTACAGCTATCCACTTTAGTTACTATATACGACAATAAATTACATTTTCTTGACTGTAGGGGGCTCCAAAATTGCAAAAATAAACAAAACAACATACAGTTGCTTTAATGTTTATTGTTATTTTGAAGCATGCATTATATTTTCTGTTGTGTACTAAAATAGCTAAGCAGTGAAGCTAGCAAAGACCAACATTTTTGCACTTTTCACTTTTTTTAGTTTACCTCAAATTGAATGGATGATGGTAGATGATAACACAGGTGAAAACACCCCATAGACTTACAGTTATATTATATTATTTATATCAAGAGACCAAATATAATGAGACTTGCTAGTGGGCAACCACCTAGTAATTCCCTACTATCCTGGAAACAAACCACAACACCCTAGCATTGTGGAGGTGAATTTAGCATTTATACTTACAGAAAATGTAAAAATGTAGTTTATATAAAGCGCATGGGTGTAAATCTGGTAGTCCAGCCAAAATATCCACTTAGACAATGAGCAATGACCATTTTGTCACACTACAGTGTAAATGAGCAGCTGACCCAGCGGTTGGGTTACTACCCAGAAGGTTGGGTTTAACATTCCAACCAACCGCTGGGTCAAAACAGCCTAATTGCTGGGTTTGTCCCTATTTTACCCAGCACTGGGTTGTATTTAACCCAGCATTTTTTAGAGTGTGGTGACTGCTAAGGCATGTATCATAGAAGAAAGTTACCAGAGAGAGAAAGGAAAGAGTGGGAGGAGGTTTGAATAGTGACCAGAAGATGCAGAAGTGTTTCCCTGGGTCTGAGGCTAATGCCTGTGATTTCAACAGAGAATCTTGCAAGACGGACTTCCTTCATTATGTTCCAGCTGTTCTGAGTTCCTTATTTCTCTTTACATAGAGAAATAACTAAACAGTCCTGACAGACTGCATTCTGTTGTCCCATGCCCAAATGATTCCTCTCATTAAATCACATTAAACTGACACACATTATCATCATACATCGAAGGACATTTTTTTTCTTCCCTAAGAATTCAAACTTAACATTTCAAACATGGGAAATATCGGTCAGCAACTTTAAAGGGCACCAAACCACATCTTAAACTATATTGGGGAGTAACTACTAACTAACAGAATGATATCATTTAATTACAAAATAAATGTAACTGTAATCTGTTACAGTTACTGAGAAAACATGTGTAATTAAATTACAGTTATGAAAATGTTAATGATTACAAAGGAGGGTTACATCTGAATATATTCAAACACATAGAGTTTTTATTGATTTCCTTCCAAAATTGCATTGACTGCTCTAAAATATGAGACACCAATGTTTAGGACACAGGACACATGTTTCTTTGAGAACTGTTTTTATTTCCTATTTGGGTTTGTGTATATGCTTTATTTATTAAATTAACAGTTTTTTTTCCCCCCCACGGCATTGTAAGATGCCAGTGTTTCCTGTCATATGCAAAGATTTGATTTCAAAAACAGTATCATAGCTATTAAATTATATCTTGTAATGATTTTAAATCTGTACTGTCTCCAAGTAAAAAGCAACAAAAAGAGGTGCTAAAGTCTGATTTTGTGGTGGCTGTGCTTTAAAATTAAATTATTATAATCGTATATTCAAGTGATGAAGGATTTTGAAAGTCTGACAGTAATCAGTGTTGGGTGCTACTGTAAGGTTAACACTGCCTGCTTTAAATGTTTGTAAATGATTAACAGTTCAGAGAAAAAAAAATAGGAAAAAAAATCAGAAATGTAACTTTAGAAAAGTAATCAAATGTAATCAGTTACATTAATAAAGTAATTGAAATAGTTACACTACGTATTCCATTTTAAATAGGGTAACTTGTAATCTGTAACCTATTACATTTCCAAAGTAACCGTCCCAACACTATTTACCCTATATATATATATATACATACATACAGAGACTTAAATGCAAATTACATTAGATTTTTTTTCAAAGGCTTTAAAATACAAAATCAAAAAAGTATTTTGTATTTCAAATACGTATTTATATTTTATAATATATATAAATTATTAAGCTAATAAGGGGATAACCTTTCAGAATGTGATCAGTAATTATGCTACACTCTAAAAAATGCTGGGATAAATACAACCCAGTGCTGGGTAAAATAGGGACAAACCCAGCAATTGGGTTGTTTTGACCCAG